CATTATTTCCAGGGTTTTATTTTATTTTTTTTCCAAAGAATAATATTTACTTGAGAGTAGCAGAATATGACAATGGGAACACATATGCCATAGTAAACTGTGGGTACACTTAAGGAGATTGAGGCAAGGAGAAGATTTTCGAAACAAAAATGATGAGGATTTCTTTAGATCTGGGGTTTTAAACTACATCTTAGGATAACTTTATTCATTGCCTTTCCAGGAATGTGTGGGTTTGGTGTCCATGTTCCGAGGCATGGGCCTTGAGATGGCGTCCCCGACTCCTCCAAAACGAGAAGTGCTTTCTTTAGGTATGTGGAAAATACACTTGAGAACTGTGGTAATATGTGTAAGTACCTGGTTCTTAAGTCTGTACAGTTTATGTGTAGAAAAGTAACTGCACTTTGAAACATGTTTGGTTCACAGTTACAGCTGAGGTTTGGTTCTTTCAGGTAGAGGCATTTTAGGTCGAGGCTTGCCGGTTAACGTGGTATGCAAGGACAAAGAAGAACCCCGTCCCAATTTTCCTGATTCTGTGGTATTGGCAGCTGGGGACAGCAAGCTGGCAGAGGCCACTGTTGGTTGGAATAGGTGGGTCAAGTCCCCTCCCCATGCAACCATCAACTCCAGGTGGAAAGAGTTCTGGGAGGGGCATGTTACCATACAAGCAATCAAAAGTTTCCAAGGAGAACATTTTCCAGGAGCAGTCAGCTGCCACTGATTCAGGCAGACACTTGGAAAGGGCAGTGAGTACCCCACTGGGCTAGTCACAAATTCATTTGCCCTCTAAGCTTCCCTGTTTGAAGAAGTTCTTTAATCTGGATGAGTCACAGTCCCCTAACTCTGCTGTAGAGGTGGCTTTAAGGATTAAATATCAATAGCCATTATGAATAAGTCATGAATCTGAGAGAATCCCAAAGTTATGCCAACCTTCTTTGGCTGACTCCTTCAGAAAGAATGCATGCATGCCAATAAGCCTGGCCCTCCAGAGGCCAAGGCAGGAGAATTGCTTCAAGTTCAAGGCCACCTGGACACACAGTAATTTCAAGGCCAGACTGAACTACATAGTGAGGCCCTTTCTCACAAAGCAAGAAAGAAGGAAAATGTAGACTTATGGGAAGATGAAACCTATATAAAAGCATGACTAAGAAAATTCTGACTTGCCTCCCTTTGTACCATTTCAGAGTTTTTGGAAGAGGGAGTTCAGATGCCTCTTCATTACCTCTGGGAAGAACAGCTGGTGGTACAGGCAGAGGAGTAGATAAGCCTCTTAAGGCACCTGGCCCTCCTGCCTGGGACCCCCAGCAGCTGTCACCACCATTGCCTCTGCCCAGGTCCTCATTGCATTCTTTAGATCACCTTCCTGACCCAACTGTGGAACACAAAGAGAAGTAAGTCAGGAGCACTGCCTGCTCTTTGGAGGGTGTCAGAGAGGCAGGAGGGCCTTTTGATCTCTATGGTTGGACTGATGTATAGTGCTGTGAAACTGACTGTGGCGTCCAAAGTCCTCCTTGTGTTACAGAGTGCAGAGATGGCTTCCCCCCCACCAGTGGTGGGATTTATGGAGAAATGGGACATTTCCACATGAAGTGTAGAGAGTTTAATAGTGAATGTATCAAGTAGTACTTAGCAGAGAGTAAACTCATGCCCTGTCATTTCTCTCCTATTTCAGGCAGGCAGTTTTTTGTCATGTTGTAGCCATTTAGGAGAAATATTATGGCACTTCATCTTTCTCTATAGAACCAGTTCTATAGCTGGGTGTGGTGGCACACACCCATTATTTCAGAATTCAGGAGACCGAGGCAGGAGGATAGAGACCAGCCTGGGCTACATAGTGAATTTAAGACCATCCTGAATTACATAGGAGGCTTTGTCTCAAAACAAACAAAAAGAACCAATTCTTAGTTCTCAGTCAACTGGTCTTGTTTATTCTGTTGCTATTGCTAGGACAGATTAGGGGGGCATTACCTGTCTGATTAGATATTGCCAAGGATTTATCTTCTTTTCTTCAAAGCTTGGTTTTGTATATCTTGGTTTGTGCAAAGTGTAAAAAGTATTACTTCCCCCAATCTTTTTGTTGGTGGTAGTGCAGGTCAGTTGGTTTGTTTTTGTTTTCCTATATGTGGTGTGTGGGTGCTTTTCTCTTCTTTTCTCTTCTTTTCTTTTCTCTTCTTTTCTCTTCTTTTCTCTTCTTTTCTCTTCTTTTCTCTTCTTTTCTCTTCTTTTCTCTTCTTTTCTCTTCTTTTCTCTTCTCTTCTCTTCTCTTCTCTTCTCTTCTCTTCTCTTTTTGATTTTCTCCAGGTTGGCTCAAGAAATCTTCCTGCTTCAGCTTCCTGGGTAGCTGGGACTACAGGCACACAACATTATACTAGGCTGAATGCTTTTGTTTTTTAATTGTTATTTTCCAGACAGCATTTTGTGAAGCAAGGATCAAAAGGAACACCTCAATCTTTGGGACTGAATCTCATCAAAATACAGTGTCATAATGAAGCAGTTTATCAATATCATGTGACTTTCAGGTACCTACAACTTTTCTATTGTTCACTTTCCAGAGGACAGGAATGATATCTTTCCCTTGGAATAACTGAATACTGTTCTGCGTAATTCCTGGTGAGCGTTTTCATGCAGTTATACTTGTGCTCAGATCCTGGCCAGAAGTTTAAGACACACACACACACACACACACACACACACACACACACACGGTTAATATATATTTTTTGTTTTGTTTTTTTTTGAGATGGAGTCTCACTATATAGCTCAGGCTGACCTTGAACACACTATGTAGCCAAGGCTGGCCTCAAACTCACTGTGATCCTCCTACCTCAGCCTCCAGGGTCCTGGGACTACAGACATGCACCACTGTGTCTGGCCCTAAAGTTAATGTTTTGTTTGTTTGTTTTTAAGAACTCACTATGTAGTTCAGGCTGGCCTTGAACTTGCTTATGTAGCCCAGGCTGGCCTCAAACTCACTGTGATCCTCCTACCTCAGCCTCCAGGGTCCTGGGACTACAGACATGCACCACTGTGTCTGGCCCTAAAGTTAATGTTTTGTTTGTTTGTTTTTAAGAACTCACTATGTAGTTCAGGCTGGCCTTGAACTTGCTTATGTAGCCCAGGCTGGCCTCAAACTCACTACCATCCTCTGGCCTCAGCCTACCAAGAGTACAGGCATGTGCCACCACAGGTTAACCCAACAGGTTAACATTTTTTTATACATGTTCTTTAGCTGTATTACTAATTCAGGGTTTAACTTAATAGGTATACATTTATGCATGAAGCTAGAAGTACATTTAATATGAAATTAAGCTTAAGTTCAAGCTGTTTTGCTTGCTTGGTCACTTGCCTGGTCTTTTGACTTATTTTGTGTGTATAATTTTATATTGTTATTCTTAAACCTCTCTCAAGTGGTATAAGACCCATATCCCACAAAACCTGGATCCTTCCCTGCCTGTATCATTATAATCAAAGTTGACATCTCTCCAGTGACAGTTTAGAGTTAAATTCGAGGGTGGTTTATTGTACGGTTTATTTTTGGTTTTTGAGGCAGGATCTCACTTTGTAGTCCAAGTTGGCCTTGAACTAACTATGTAGCCCAGGCTGGCCTTGAACTCAGAGCAGTCCCTTTGCTTCAGCCTCCTGAGTGCTGGGATTGCAGGTATGTACCAACACATGTAGCTATTATACCTTAAGATGAAGAAATCATACTAGTTTGTGTTGTCTTTGTAAGGTCTGAGGGGACCCCTTAGCCGTAATTGTGAGAGTGACTACATATTTTGTGAAGAAGATGAGAAGATGGAAATCTGATTTTTCAGACTGATAGTTACTGTATATAACTATGGGATACAGTGCAATATTTTGATATTTATATACATTGTAGAAAGATTAAGTCAAACTAATTAATGTATCTGTCATCCTCACCTACTTTTTTGAGGTGAGGTCATTTAATGTCTCTTTTAGCAGTTCTGAAATATGCAACATGACTTTTTAACTGTGGTCACCATGCTGTGCAGTAGATCACTAAAACTTACTTTCATTTAACTGAAATTTTATACCCTTTGACTAACATCTCCCCTTTCCTCACTCCCACAAACCTCTGGTAACCACCATTCTACTCATTGGATGAGTTCGGGTTTTTTAGATTCCCCTTATACGTCAGTCATACAGTATTTGTCTTTCTGTGCCTGATTTATTTCACCTAGTATAATGTCTTGTATGTTCATCCATGTTGTTACAAATGATAGAAAATCCTTCTTTCTAAAGGATATATAGTATAATATTCCACTTTGTATGTATATACATACAACACATTTTCTTTATCAATGGATATTTTATCTGTTATGAATAGTGCTGAAATAAATATTGGAATGATGATATTTCTTAACACTGATTTTAGTTCCTTTGAATATATACCTGTATGTGAGGTTGTCAGATCATACAGTAATTTTGTTTCTAGTTTTTTGAAGAACTTCTATATTGTTTTTCAAAATGACTGTACTATAAAGTCTGAGTTTTTCAAGAGTAGCTCCTAATTGATGGTACAAGAAGTGGAATAAAACGGAAGAATGGTTCAGAGGAAAATAGCCTGAAATTATGTTACAAAGAGCAACTGAAGAACCAGTGTGGATGAGGAGAGAGTGGTTGACTTTGACCACAGTAAAACATGTCATTGGATTTGCTTTTAAAAATACCCTTGGTGATCATCTAGTACCTCTAAAAGATTAAAGGAACCAGGGAGAACATCAGCCAGGAGAAACAGTGAATGAATCAACTACTCATTTTAGACGTTTTTAAGATTTTTTTGTTAAAGAGTAGAAAAATTTATTGGAGAATAGGAATAGCTTCTGAGAGAGAGGAGGGATCCTGAGTAGGTTGTCTTAGAAGTTTTTAAGATTGAGAGAGGAATGATAACTAACGAGTACAGTAGGGTTGGTTTATCACAGATGTGAAGCCAGCAGAAGGCACACCAATGGCTGAAGGCTGACACATATGGCAGGAGAAAGGAAAGTACCAGAAAAAAGGACAAAGTTGGCCTGTTGTGGAATGTAAGGAGAGGAGAGGAGATGATTGTTGGAGAGGGAGGCCAGGCATGGTGGCACACTCCTATAATCTCACAACTCAGGAGGGTGAGGCAGAAGGATTCCAGGTTTGAAACCAACCTGTGCTATGTAGTGAGACTTCAACTCAAAAAAAAAAAAAAAAAAGTTGGGTGGCAGAGTGGTGAGCAGCAGAGAAAGAGCCTCTCCAAGATTTGGTGTCTACACAATGAATATAGCACCATGAGAAAGAGAAGAAGGACGGAAGGGGCTTCCCAGGGCCCAGAAGGGATCTGAAGTGAGAATTGAAGCCCACAGGGAGATGGAAGAAAACAATTTCAATGAAGAAGAAGGAGGTGGCAGGCTGTACTTTCTCCCTGAGCCCAGACTCACTGAGTGGGAGGGATGGCTTGGCACACAGTGACTACTGGCATCCCCAGAGGGCTTCACAGAGAAGTGCACCAGTGGAATGGAGCTGTGGATACAGCACACTACAGTGGCTGGTGAGTTGTTCGGGTTCAGATGTCCCTCAGGAGAGGGCAGTTGGTTTGTAGCCATCTTAGATAGGGGCCAACTGAGCTTAGAACTGAGCAGCTTCAGCCCAGCTCCATCTAGTGGTTCCTAGTGAGAGGGTCAGGGAGCTGAGGTCAAGCCAGCAAGGAGCCAAGTTCAGGCCAGCAGAAGGCACACCAACTGCTAAAGGCTGAGCAAATCTAGTTTGAGCCTCACAGCCAGAAACCAGCCTGAACTTCTTTGGAACTAACGGTGCAGGCTTGCTGGGATTATCCGATATCCCACCATAAAGCTACTGCTGGCTTGTTGGAATAAATCAACTCGAATCTAGACTCTATCTGCCCATGTTGTCTACCAGTGACAGCAGAAACATGCCTTGAAGTGGACACTTCTTTCTTCTTTTCTTTTTTTTTTCCCCTCTCTTGTTTTGTTTTTTCCTTGTTTGTTCTTGTTTTTAATATCAGTATAAACATGGTTTCTAGGGGTTTTTTTCTTTTGTTGTTCTGTTCTTGTTTTTACTTCTTCCTTCTCTTTTGCCTTCCTGTTGTCTTCAGCAGTTTCCCAAAGTTTGAGTGATCTCCCTTTGTCCTCCAGCCTTGCTTCTAATCTCTTCCTCTTCTTCTGTTTCTCTATTTTTACCCCAACTGCTTTTAAATTTTCTCCTCTGAGGGGTAGAATTGCCATATCGAGGGCTTATTTCTTGCGTACCATTTTCTGGTTCATTTTAGATTTTGTTTTAAAATCATAAATCTAGTTCATGCAGTTAAAGGTGGCAAATTAATAATCACCTCCGTTTATTGTCTAGACCATTTTTGATACTATTGTTATTGCTGATTGTGACACTTTAACCAAAGTGACATAGTTGTTCTAATCAGCTATTCTTCCTAGTATACCAAAACTGAGATTGCCTAAGGTTCATAAAAATATATATAAACCACTGCCAAAGAACCAGGGGTCAAGTAGGCAGCAACTTCTCATCACCAGTAAGTTGAAGAGGTAGGATCTTGCAACAGACCCAAAACCCAAAAGCCAGCTATACCTGGAAGACACCTCTGAAAAGTAGTCATTCTCTAAGGGTTCTAAATACTAGCAATAAAACTACTCACCATAGGCAATTTACAGGCATCAACCCAGGAATTAAACTATTAAAAAAAAGAAAGAAAACAAGAAGACACTTAAATAAGGTGCAACCCCAGACTTCCAGTTCACCAGAGGCAAACCCAGGGGGCAGTAACGTGGGACACGGCTAAAGCTACCCACCTGAACTCTAAAGTGATAAGAACAAAGCAGATGAACAAGGCTCTAGAAAAATCAAATCAGAAATAATTTCTCAGAAAAGTACAGTGATGGTGACTATAATGAAAGACATGCTTAGTGACTCTAGAGCAGATGCAGATAAAAAAAAGAAGACTTTAGGAAAATGATGGAAACTTTTCTGAAATACTTGGCTTTTTCTTGCTAGTCTTTTCCGTGACCAGTTTCTCCTCTGCTCTGTCTTAGTGATCCACAGCTTTTCTGGCCAAACTCCAAATGTTTTAAGTCATTCTGTTAGGCTCTTTGCTCTTGATTCTCAACATAAATCTGGCTAAAAGCCCCCAATGATAGCCATGACACTGCTTCAGCATCTGGACTCCAATAGCCAATTGCAGTCCTTCTTCCCAGCAGAAACCTCCAAAGCGTTTTTGTTTGTTTTATGAGACAGGGTCTCATTACGTAGTGCATGCTAGCCTTGAACCCACAGCACAATCCTCCTGCCTCAGCCTCCTGAATGCTGGGATTACAAGTGTGTTCCACCTGTATATCCAATCCTTTCCTATATGTCTAAACTTTTCCCACAACCCATTTCCAAAGGGTCCTGAACCACATGGTCAGGTATAGTCACAGCAATGACCCCACTTCTCTGGTACCAAATCTGTGTTAGTTACTTTTCTCTCATTGCTTTGGGCTTTGTTTGGACAAAATACCCAACA